ATACTTGTACTTGAATTTTTACTGTAGTACAATTCACAATCACAAAGAAGTGGAATCAACCTAAATGCCTATTAATTCATGAGTGGATAATGGAAATGCAGTATATATACACCATGGAGTACTACTCAGCCATAAAAAGAAATGAATTAATGTCTTTTGCAGCAATTTGAATGGAAATGGAGACCATTCTTCTAAGTGAAGTATCTCAAGAATGGAAAAACAAAAAACCACATATACTTTCTAATAATTTGGAACTAACTGATGGGCACACATGTGCACAGAGAGAAGTAAAAGTCATTGGAAAAAGTGAGGGGTTGAGGGGAGGGATAAAAATCACCTAAAAGGTACAATGAACACTATTTGTGTGATGGGCACACTAATAGCCCTGACTTAAGCATATTAAAAGCTATCCATGTAACAAAAAATTTGTAGCCCCTTAGTATTTTGAAATAAAAAAATCATTTATAGATATACTCCTTTCTTTGGGATTCCCAATATTGTATCCAAGACAATATAGGAAAAACCCAGCAGAAATCAGAAATTCTTTTGAATTAAAAAAATAGTCTAAATAAGTTTCTAGATGTAAATATTTTGAAAGAGCTAATGTTCAGTTAAAAATGGCTTCATAATCATTTGACCCTAAAAGAAGTAAAAGTAAACCAGAGTTAAACTACTGATATGAAAATCTAACATATAAAGTAAATGTATAAAACTCTTTTGTCTATGTGCCTCACAAAATACAAATAACCTGTGAGGAAAAAAGGTGTAAGTATTATCCATTTAAGATAAGAAGAGAAAGTTTAATTTATTATGTAATAAAACAGAATCAAGAGTGCTGTCTAGTTTAGTCTGTTTGGTACTAGATTCTGCTCAGCAGCAATTCTAGTTATCGACCCTGTAAGTTATTTGTTATTTACCTATTATGGATATAATTCAGAACTGCATGTTAGAGAAGCCATAAAGATGAAGGAAGTCACGCTATAGTAGGTTATCTAAGGTAATGCACCCACAGCTGTAATACACGATAGACTATGCCAGTTTGCGTAAAAGACAGTTTATGAGTTGTATCAATAAGTATGAAGAAGTGGCAGGCACGATTCTCAACTAAGATTGGGAAAGCTTCCCACAGGCAGGTATGGACAGTATAGAAGAGCCAATAATGACAAAGGCATGTAGGTAGGAAAGCACCTACCTACACGAGTGGTACATAGAATAGTTGGCTAAGTCAGATTTTTGTGAAATTGTAGAATGCGTAAGAGAGGTGGTAGAAGGAAAAAGTAGAAAGTGATTTGGCCATGCCTAGGAATGTGCACTTCACTCTTGCAGAAATGGGAGCTTCAGCAATAACACATTAGAGGTTTAAGAAACCTTAGCCATCAACTCCTTTATTATGGAGACAAGGAAATTGACCTCAGAAAAGTTAAGTGGCTTGAAGAGAAACACAAAATTCACAGATATGAGTCAAGAACTAAATTCCTGCCTCCTAGGAATGAGAGGATAAGATATATGATTTAGGAAAATTATTTCAGCAGCAATGTACAGCACGAACTAGAGAGAAAAGAAATTACTTTAAACATAAAGTGAAAAGAAAAATGAGGTATAGTATAATTTAGAATTCTATTACTAAGATGCTATCATAATGTGTTTTAAGAATCTTTCTTTGATAAGCCAGACTGAAATGTTAACTTGACCACAGAAAAATCTCCTCCCTGTCTATAAGACTTCACTGAAAGAGACACCAAAAACTTAGTTTTTGTGCCAACCACATCAGTGACATATATTGCCACCTATACCAGCTAGTTCAACTCTTCACAGAGAAGGCTGAATCATGAATGTCAGAGCTAATTTCAAAAACTGTGAACGGGAAAAACAGTTTTTCAAAGACAGTAATGTTCTCTGAAACCTTTGTTCAAATGTCATTTCTATAACAACTAAGAGTAAGATTTTCTTTCCTAAGAGTCTACATTTCATTGTGTTACCTACACAATAACTTAAGCTTATATACAATGCTATGAAAAGCAGCCTCATTATTTTATACCTTGTAATAATTACTAGCAGGACCATCTCAAGAAATGTCAAGTTGAATCTATTATACCTAAAAGAAAAGAGCATAACACAATACTTGTCCTCCTTGATGATTACCTTAAAAGGTTTGGATGGAGCTCTATTTTCCCTTAATACACTGCCTGGATCAATCATCCAAGAAATTATCTTAACATTTTCTGTATCTGTATTTTCTAATGACACTTGTATTGTACTTTTACAGTGCTGTCACATCTATTATCTCAGTTTTTGCTGAGTTTAAATACTTTATGTCTTGCCATCTAGCTAAATGGCACGATTTAAGATTATTACACTTCGAAGCATTTTGAATTGAAAAGTTAACATATCTATAACACTGGTCTAAGTTTTAAGGGAATTTGTTTCCCCCTTTAAAAAATCACTTTTGTCCTCTTTTTTAAGCAGCACATTTTCATTACTGAAGTTTAAAGAAGGCACAAACCATGACATTGTGTCCTCCAGAGTGCCCATACCACATAGGTGTCAAAGACCTTGCTTAATGACATGAACAGTGACAACAAGTCAACTTTGGATGCAGCTGTGTGATGCAAAGATCATCAGGGCTGATGTGGCCTATCAGGATGCCTAAACAAATCCACTGTGCAGGCTTGTCTTTTCTCTGCTGGCCTATTAGATGTTAATATTCACCTGGCTTCAGCCATAGAACTTCCCTTCACACTCTATGCACTCACCTGAGCAAAATCAACCACTCCCATGGACTTAACTCCCATTATGTGTGTGGATCACACTTAAATAGTTATCTTTAACTCCGACTTCCTTCTTAAGCTACAAATTATATCTCTTACTGTCTATTAGATATTTCCACTCCTATGTCTGACTAACCTCAACACGACAAGCTCCAAATTGGAATTCATCATCATCCTCCAACTCCTGCTATTTGTGAGGTGTTGCCCATATCAGTAAATAGACTCGCCCAAATGCCTAATAGTGAAACACAGGTAAACCTCATTACCTCATTTACCCACCCACAGCGAATCAATCACCAATTCGTAGTGATTCTACCACCAAAAACATATCTCCAACCTATCCACTTTTCTCCTTCTCTACTGAGACCACACCTTGTTCAGGCATCATAACTCACCAGAATTATTTCTAACTGGTGACTATGCCTCCAAACTAGCTCCCCTCCAATCTACTGTATTGCCAGAATGATCTTTCCAAAATGTGAACCTACTTAACCCTTAAATAGCTTCCTACCATCCTTAGGATAATACCAAACTCCTCGTCACAGCTTACAAGATCCTTCAAGAGCTGGAAACTACCTGGTAAGTTATACGATAGCATGACAAAATGAATAAGCACAGGTATAGAGAAGCCAGATTGACCTGTCACTTATGAGCTATCTCATGTTGGACAAGTTACTTGATTTCTCTGTCCCTCCATTTCCTCAACTGTAAAATGGGAATATTAATACCTATTTTACAGTATGGCTGTGGATATTAAACGAGACAAAATACAATGTTTGACACAGTATCTGACACATTTGACACATAGTAAATGCTTAGTAAATATTAGCTACTGTTACTCTCTAATTTTTCACTTCTCTCCAATTTATATTCTGAGTTCCATCCACAGCAAACAACTTTCATTTCCTCTTCACATATTCCTTCTTCCTTTACATGTCCCATAATTCTTTAAGTCTCATCCTAAATGGCACATCCTCTGGCAAGTCCTTCTGGCCTGTCCTGTACCCTGTTTGGTTCTCTTAACCATGTGCTTCCCAAGGTTACGTATTTTCCTTACCATAACACTTTTTCCCACTTGCTGTAAATTTCTCCCTCTGCACTGCTAAATTTTAAGTTCTGTATGAATCTAATTTAATCTATCTTGCTCACTACTATATTCCTAATGCCTAATGCCTAGTACAGTGCCTGGCACAGAGTACGTATTTAATAAAAGTGTACATTCCCTCTCTCACAGCTCCAGATGTGCTTCTTCCCAAATCGCAGTTAGTAAAAAAGCATAATCTTCCCATAACAGCTGTCCTTAGAATAAGTTTTAGAAAACGCTGCCACCGAACAAAAAACCTGATCAAATAATACCGGGAATGACAGGTTGAAACAATGTTAGAGCTTGAACCATAGTACTTCCCAGAATTTTTTCTATACTTAAGAGCATTGTGAATCTCCAAGTTGGAGGGTGAGGGTGTGTACATTTCTCATACATTTCTCAAACTATCTCCCGTAATGAGTATTCTGCGGAACACATCGTGGCCAAACCGATTTAAGGAGATGCCTTCTCTCCTACTAGAACTGCAAGTAAGTTGGTAGTTGTGGATGAAGAAATCTCTAAAGTATAATACTTATTCCGCAGGGTTTACCGTTTTTAGATCAGTAACGTCTGGGCATGAAATTCCAGAAGGAATCTTAGATATAGTTCAACAAAGCTCCTTCTTTTACAGATAAGGAAACTGAGGCTCAGACGGCAAAGCGACCGGATGAAGGCCACACAGAAGCGACATACAACAGGAAGAACTAGGAGTGGAACCTCTGACGCCCGCTTCGTCCCAGCGACTTCCAGCACAACCAGTGCCTCCGACTACCTGGGAATGCCAAGTGTTCCCACTTCAGGTTTTATTTTTAAGCCACACCGCAGTTAAGGGCAATGTTTCCTGGCCGCCCGTGGTCTCAGGCCTTACAGTGACGGCCCCGCACTCCTCGCCCCCTTTCCCCACACACTTTCCCGCGAAACCCGTGAAGTTGGGGCTTGGCGGCGGGAGCGGAAGACGGTTTCTTTCTTTCCTTCAGAGTTTATTTTTGGAGTGTGAACTTTTTCATGTAAACCAAACAAAATTGTTTATTTTACGGCCCCCGCCTAGATTCCCAGGGGTGCTACTCCCAGCCCCACCGCACCTTATTTACCTTACCCTACCAGCTCCCTCCCTAGCTCAGACAGGGGGCCCTGCTGATGGTCTTCACCTGGGACTGCCATGACGGTGGTAAGAGAGGTCGCTGGAGCCTTCGGCTTTCGAGAACGCGTTTGCTTCCTGCCGGCTGCGCGGACGACACACAGCCAAAGCGGCCTTTTTCTCGCACCCGCGTTGAGGCACCTTCGCTACAGTCCGGGACGGGCCTGTAAGCCTCTAGCAATAGCAGAACCAAGTAGACGCAGATGCAGTTTCCGGGAGACTCCTATTGCAAGCTACACATCGTCGGAACCATTACTGACAGTTTCGGGGGGGGGGTGAGTGCGACCAGCACACGCGAGTGTGAAGTAAACACCACCAATATTTACAAATTGTGCCTTTTAATATTGTGAAATATTGCTAGTACAAATTACATTAAGCTATAGGAACTTTACAATATTTTCTTGTTTTCTGGAGCACATTGGGATCCCCCTTCTCAGGGTTAGCGGTGCTCGGGTCCTCGAGCAACATGGCGGCGTCCGTGAGGGGCTGGCTAGCTTTGGGCAAAGGTAGCGTTTAGTGTTGCTGTCTTGCATGATATTGATCGACTGAAGCTTTCCCGGACCACCTGACTTAAGGAAGAGTGTACTGGTAGGCGGACAGCTTTAGTGACCGGCTGTCCGCTCTCATCCCTCAAAAGGAGCAGAGTCCTGAGCACTGATCAGGATGAGCAACATCTACATACAGGAGCCTCCCACGAATGGGAAGGTGAGAGCCTCACCTAGGGAACCCGGGTTCCCCAAAGTGAGATATCCCGAGGTGTGTGTGTGTGTGTGGGGGGGCGTTCAGGGATCTTAGAGTAGGAAGAGATTGTACAAAGTGCTCTCCTTATCTCTCTGCCAATAGACAGTGCTGCATCGAAAATCCTGAAGTTGGCACTTCTCAGCATGTTCTTGTAAAAGCCCTCAAGTGGAGATTTCTCTGTCAGCCTTTGGTCCTACGTCCTGCCTTAACCCAACTCACGCAGATGTTTTCTAGGGTGTTAGGTTTTTTAAAGTACATTTTCGAGTTTGAAATATTTTGGCTTAACTTGAAGGTCGTTCATTCTCCATTTTTTCCATAATCATTAATTGAGCGCCTTCTAGGCACTGGGCACTGTACTAGGCACGGAAGATACAAAGAAAGATAGGTAAAGTCTAGTTGTTGCCCTAGAAGAGCATACAGTTTAGTTAGGGAGACAGGCAGGTAAAGAAAACCCTTACGATGTGTATGGTAGGTGCAGTCATGGGGAGGGGAACATATTGCTATGGCAGTACTGAGAAGTGAGCAACTGGGAAACTTGGGAAAAGCTTCTGGAGGAGGTATCTTTTGATCTGGTCTTAAAACATGAGATGATTATTAGAGAAAATGGGAAATGTTGAATATTACCACATTAGAATGGGAGAATGATTCTCTGATTGATTTGATGGCCGATGTATGTCAATTCCTGTCCAATGTATTTGTATACACTATGAGGCAGAGGAGTCAATAGTGGAATAAGTGTCACATGAATTCTTGAGTTGAGACCTAGTCTATATCACATATGAAATGTAAAATGTAATGAACCAACATAATGGAGAAAAATAGTGGTATTGAAAGTATACAGTTGAATTAGAATAAAGTAAATTTATATAAAATACAATTGTTTGCATGATTGCATCATAAATTATTTGCACAATCTTTTATTTATTGACATTTGGTCATGTAATGAGGGCAATTTGAAAGCAAAAACAAAAATTCTGTAATTCCCATCGAAAATTCTGGTGGGTATTTTGGGAAGATCAATTCTTTCAATTTTTTTGTTTGAATTTTTCTTGGGCATTGTAGCATCTCCATCTTACCCCTACTCCACCCTCTACCCTTACTTTATGTCAGTGTGAAAATCCAAAATACCTACCTCCTCATATTTCCTAATATTTCCTGATGTTGATAAACACTGGAAGAGATTGAACAGGTTGCCCTTCCTGCCAGGCAGGGCCTTCACACTTGCTGCTTTTCTCTCTAGTATGCTGTTTTACCTGTTCAAATGTCAACCTTAGCAAAGAAGCCTTTCTTATCTACTTTCTATGAAATAGCAAACCTCAATCATGTCTTGCATCCCAGCAATCTCTGGCCCCTTTAACCTCTTTAGTTTTTTCCATAACATTTATTTATTTATTACAGTATCCTCCCCTTTTCCTTCCCACTATAAAATGCAAGCATCTAGAAGAGTGCTAAACTCATAGTTGAAGGAGTTCAAATGTGCAGTGAATGAATAAATGGAAGGATGAATTAATGCTACATTTTTCTTAGGTTTTGAGAAGTATTAAGCATCAGTGACTTTGAGGTTAAACTGCTGCTGGTCAAGGGCAGACTTAGTTGAGTGAAATACATTATCCAAATAATCATACAAATATTAATAAATATATAATTGCAAATTGTGATGAACACTATCTTATGAACAAAAATAGGCTGAAGGAGAATATAAGGCAGGGCTCAAGTTTTTCTACACTAACAGTTTGGGACTTTTTCTAACAAAAAGCTGATTGAACACACTGAAGCTTCAAAGTTCTGTACTATAGAGAGCGTGGCAAGAATTTTGACTTGTAAAGGATTTAACACAGATATAATAACAAGTCTGTTCAATGAATGTTTGTTTAGTGCCTTTACTGTGTAATTGTATGTTAGGTACTGAAATGATGCAGAGCTGTTCAGAATAAATGGGACAAAATTCCTCCTTTCAAAGAGCACAGTCTTAACTGGGAAGTAATTGATACATAATACCAGTGATTGACCCCTGGCTATTGTCCATGAATGTGCTATGTTTTGCTGTGTTATGCCATAACCCTATGTCCTGAAGACGAGACACAGAAATATAGCACTTGACAGAAATTTTCTTAAACATAAAAAAGTAATCCACTGAAGATGAAATTTCTACATACTATGATCACTTAATATAAACTGTATATTTATTTTTAAGAAACATGATATTTTCAAAGTATTGTATTATTGGGAGCTTTAATAAAAAGAGCTACCAAAGCCTGACATAATAATGTCCAAAGGGAATTTATGGCAAACAGAGGAAGGAGCCATATGCCTTCTTTATTAATTCAATAGCTTATCACTGAAAAGATTAAGAAACCTTAGTGAGCAAGGTGGCCCAATCAGATATGCATTCTTTTTAGTAGGTGTAAGTTGCCTATTTGGCAGAAAAACCCACAACAATTTTAAAAGAATGATAAGTAGAATAATGGCTATCATTTTTTAAGATCTTTTTGTCTGGTATTAAGTCTATGTATAATAGCTCGTTTTGTCCTCACAACAGCCCCATAAAGATATTATCTCTGTTTTTAGATAAGGATATTGAGTCACAGAGATGTTCAATATCGTGCGTGAGATAATGAGCTAGTAAGTGGAAGAGTCAGCATTTGAACTTAAGCAGCCTGACTCCAGAACTTACGGAAGGAGGGAGGATGTACATTAGTTTGTTGTTTCGAGTAGCAGTTTCTAAACCATTGGAGCACATACTTCAGGGGCTGTACAAAACCAACTGATGTGTAGGGAGAAAATCACTATTTCTATTTATTTTTTCCTTTATTTGTTTAAATGCAATATTTTATATATAAAAAAAGATTATATAAGTTCAGTTACTTGTTTTGTATCATTATGTAATTTTTCTTAATGACTAGCTAAATGGATTTACAGATCATGGTATCTAGATTAACTAAACAAGCCCTCACAAATTTCATATTGATGATAATATTAATAATGTAATCATAAGAAAATGTTAGAGCTGATGCCTCAGCATTGGAAGTCTGTCAGAAAATGAGAAATTATTATGAAGACCATTTAAAATATGGATTTCTATTTATTATTGTTAATGATGAACTTTGTCTTGCCTTAAAATATATATCAATAAGAGTATAAAGCCATTGGGATTTACAAACTTAATATGTAGAACAGGAAAACAGACCTCTAATTTCAAAGCAACATTATGCTAAGTGAGAGAAGCGAGATACAAAGGCCACATATTGTATGATTCCATTTATATAAAACGTCCAATAGGCAAATCCATACAGATGGAAAGTAGATTAGTGGTTGCCAGAAGTTAGAGGTAGGAGGAAAATGGGGAGTGACTACTATTGGGTACAGGGTTTCTTTTGGGGTGAGAAAATGTTCTGGAATTAGATAGTGGTGGTGGTTGCACAACTCTGTGAGTCTATTAAAGACCACTGAATTATATACTTTCAAAGGGTGAAATGTTTGGAATGTAGGTATCTTAATAAAGCTGTTATTAAAAAGGTTCAGCCAGGCACGGTGGCTCACGCCTGTAATCCTAGCACTCTGGGAGGCCGAGGCAGGAGGGTCATTTGAACTCAGGAGTTGGAGACCAGCCTGAGCAAGAGCAAGACACTGTCTCTACTAAAATAATAGAAATAAATTAGCTGGACACTAAAAATATATAGAAAAGATTAGCTGGGCATGGTGGCGCATGCCTGTAGTCCCAGCTATTCGGGAGGCTGAGGCAGAAGGATCACTTAAGCCCAGGAGTTTGAGGTTGCTGTGAGCTAGGCTGACGCCATGGCACTCTAGCATGGCAACAGAGTGAGACTCTGTCTCAAAAAAAAAAAAAAAAAAAGAATTAAAAAAAGGTTCATTGTGGCCTGGCGCGGTGGCTCACGCCTGTAATCCTAGCTCTCTGGGAGGCCGAGGCGGGCGGATTGCTCAAGGTCAGGAGTTCGAAACCAGCCTGAGCAAGAGCGAGACCCCGTCTCTACTATAAATACAAAGAAATTAATTGGCCAACTAATATATACAAAAAATTAGCCGGGCATGGTGGCGAATGTCTGTAGTCCCAGCTACTTGGGAGGCTGAGGCAGGAGGATTGCTTGAGCCAGGAGTTTGAGGTTGCTGTGAGCTAGGCTGATGCCATGGCACTCACTCTAGCCTGGGCAACAAAGCGAGACTCTGTCTCAAAAAAAAAAAAAAAAAAAAAAAGGTTCATTGTACCATTAATAAATAAAATAGGAATTATTTTAAAGTACTGTTTTTACATCTTTTAAAATTCTTATTTTTGGGGCTCTTTCATACTACTAGAGTAACATAGTACTACATGTATTTAAATATACATATTTTTTTCATATGTGCTCCAATCCCTTACTTCCCCTGCACCTTTTTTTTTGTTTGTTTGCTAATAGGATGCACACTTTAAAAATTTAGAGATCATTGCTTTGGGTTTGCAATTAAGAGAATACATGGCTAGGTTCCCTTTAACAAA